AAAAACAGCCAGGCATCCTGAGTTTACTAAGTGTTCTGTTGGAGAACTGAAGATGCATATCTGTTCTTCTCTTGTCAGCCAGGTTGGATAGTGTTCACCAGCTCGTCTCATAAGCTGGTGCATCATACGGGTGATATACTTGACTCCAAAGAAGCAGGTTAACCGACATACACACACACATTGGTGTGACCTACTGTTCCAGCTTATCCCCCACGTACTGACAAATGAGTTTCTAACAGGAGAATGTGATTCTAAGATTGACGGTAAAAGATGTATTGTTTATGGATATTGACAGTCTCTGCCTAAGAATGTCTACCACATTATCGTCCTTAAATTCGAGGTTCAGAGGTTCAGACTCTTGTCCAGTTTTATGTTGACATTATCAATTCACCTGTTTATGATAGTGGCCGCCTAGCTGTTAAATTCTTTCCTTTCGTGTTTATTATCTTTTGGAACAATTTTCTTTCTTCATATGTTAAACAGCACAATCAATCAGGTTTCCACTGTATACAATATAACCAAGGTTATGGATTCTGATAGCTAATATATAAGTGCCATGAACTGACTGAATATACTTAATTAAACATGGTCATTCACTAAAAACCACCGTCTTGAAAACATTCTATATTGTTGTTGTTATTATTGACATTATATTACACATCAAATATTGTTTCTCAGGGAACAATTCTACTATATCTGACCTCTTCGATGACATCTACCTAGTAAATATGTAAATGGGATGAAAATGTGGTTAAACCAAGCTAGAGATCAATTTAATGCGTTATTGATGTTAGTACTACTTATACTACTGCTGTCACTCCTCCTCCTCATCCTCCTCCTCCTCCTCCTCCTCCTCCTCCTCCTCCTCCTCCTACTACTACTACTACTACTACTACTACATATAATAATAATAATAGTAATCATGGTGCTACACCGGCAATTAATAATTAAGACATCCATTTAGCAATAATAATAATTGAGCGTAATATCATCTGCATACTAGACATACTGGAGGTGTAGATAATAAATCTTCATCTGACACTATTGGTTTATGAAACAGAGAGAAGAACTACCAGGTAGTTAGCCTTATCAATGATTTATATGATGTAGACACAAACTATCAAAGTCTGTACAGACCATCTAGGTCATACTGCTTATTTTCTGTGTTCTTTTTTTCTGCTTTTGCTTCCTCTTCGGCTTCTTCTTCTTGATCATAATAGTAATGATATTAATCTGTCATGCATCCACCCACATTCTTGTTTCCTGTGAACAATAAGGTGTGTAAGTAAAACAAAAGAAAAAAAGGTGGTTTAAAGTCAACCTTAGTTACACAGACATAGATAAGTGTGCATTTATATTTATTAGTTTTCCAGGCTTTCTTCTGTCATAATTACTAAGAGAAGGAATACTTTAGTGAATTAGTGGTTTGCTTCTATCTTTCTAGTTTGTTTGTTTGTATGATTGAAGTTAACTGGCTGCCTGTTAATTGTTTCACCATTAGTAATGTTTATATCCCTTTTAAATGTAGGATTGTTCTCTGGAATGGGGGTGGGACAAGGCTATAATCAGTAAGAAACTGAATTCGGAAAAATATACACTTTGTGGTAGATGGTAGGGTTTTCTGCTGTTTCTCTATAGGCATGCAACAATAAATGCATGACAACACAGTGTTAGATTGACTTGGTTGTGGCTAACAGCGGACTGCAGGGTGCCCTATTCGTCCCATTCGCGATTCGTCAGCTGGGTTTACCTGCACCCCATTATTTCAAATGCAAGAGCAGTATTCACTGAACCACTGAGGCACAATAGAAACCTCTTGTACAACGAGTATTATTTATTTTTGCTTGTTGATATTTGTAATTCTGGGTTGTTATATTGGGTCGAATTGATCGATCTAGCTACTTAATTGTGCGAAAATAAATAATTCACTTTTCATGAAACCTAAGGATTCTGAACTCATCTCTATTTCTGGTGGATGTGCACTGCTGAGGAGTCCCAAAGTGGAACGAAACAGCTTTCTAATGATTTTCTAACTGATGTTATTTTACGATGAAAATTCCTTTCAAAAAGAAGTAGGTATTTTAACCACATGACAATTTGAAATGAAGTTAAGCAGAACATGATGATGTTATGTATTCTGAAATGTTAATTCAAAGTCTTACGTGAAGCAAAATATTCAATCCAAGAACAAACAAAGTACTTCAACAATTTGACATGACATTTCGATCATCAAGGAAAAATAAAGTTTGTTAAAAAGAGGTCTAAGTCACTTTAGGATTTCAACTAAAAGTTTTAAATACATCAGATACATCAAATAGTTCAATCATGTTGTATTCATATGAAAACAGAGTGAGATAAAAAAAACAAGCAAACAAGAATATGCATCTACTACGGTGTACACCTTTCATTCATACAAAAATCAGGTGAAATAACTGGGAACTGAGACTAAATAAAAACTGAACTAACATTTGAACCTCATAGCACACTTGGTCGAACATCAAACCAGTAAACTGAAGATCACCAGCTAGAATTTCGCTGAAATCCCGGTTTAATTCCCAATTCGGTAATTACTGGTCTAAACGATGATTAGTTTTCTATGTGACTGTGTATCTCAGACAGACTGATTGATCATATTCGGACATTCAAATATTCATTAGCGAATGTTTGTCTTCATACCCGGATAAGTTGGCCTCATGGGTAGTGAATATCATCTTGAAACCAGTCAATCTCCACAAACCTGAATTAATGTCCAGTACTCATTAGCAGCATTCTTCAAAATGGATTTTCCAAAATTTTAGTGGGATTAATCAAGTCAGGAGTGAGGGTAAATACTCATCAATGAAATTTGATGATGGGAGGGTTGTATCGTGAATGAATAAAGAAAGCGGAAAAAGTATACCATTCCATTCTAGCCCAGTGATTGAATGGTAACATGATCCCCACGAGAATTGAAGGTCGTGGTTTTGCTCTCGGACAGGGCCGTACACTTGAACTTCTGAGGAGTCTCATACTAGGACTGAACAGGTGTCCAGTGCTATCATATTTTCAATGGCTCTTTAATACTTATCAGTCAGTAATAAAAACTACCTTAGAAATAGTTATTCATTTAACTATATTAGTCTTTAAGATGACTACCGTATGTGATCATATGTCAATTTATGTACAGTAATGTCTGAGTCTTTTTTATTGGTTACTTATCTTATTCAGTATGGAATTAAGATGTACCTCAGTGCTGCTTACTGCTTGGATTCTACTGTAAAATTATGTATCATCTCGTTTATACCTTGCTTTTACTCAGTGTAGCATTAGTATCATTCGTTCTTATGTGCATGAAACATTGGAGCAAAATAAGGTGAAACTGTTTCTAGTCTGTTAAGATAATCCTTCATAGTAGAAAATACACCGATGGAACCCATGTAGCTTACGTATAGTCACTTGGACTTCTACTCAATATGATCATTTATATGCTGTCAGGTCAGAGTTTTCTTAATGGTCGAGTAAAATTCAGTACTAGACAATGCGCAAACAACAGTGGAGTGTATTAATGGTGTTGCTTGTATTATCCCGTCGTTGAGTGGGCAGAATTGATCGGTATCTGTTGACATAAGGCCCGAATGGTTTGATATTACTTGTGTTTGAATTATATGCTAGTGATGAACAATGGCTAGAAGTGGAATCCAGGAGGCGCATTTTATCCAGTTTAGGACTCGTCAGCTGGATGTACCTGCCTCTCAGTGAGTGATGTTGTTCCCACCAGGATTCTAACTCGAAACCGATCAATTGTCCACTAGACCACCGAGTCACGACAGTCACTTCTTGTGTGACGGGTGTAGTTTTCCACTTCTAGACACTAACCATCATTAACTTAATTCACCAGTAAGCAGTGAGATGATTACTAAACACAATGTCTTTTAATTCATAGAGTGTAAATTCATTTTATCCCTTTACAGATATCTCGTCTTCCTATCTTCTTTCAGTTGACTGAACTGAAGAGGGCAATGTATATGGCCTTGTACAAGATGAGTGATGTTTTCTGGCAAACTTGTCAAGCTGTATGATATAAGAAAAGTTTTCGTTACTAATTTACTCATGCTTGTAATTTTTTGCTAATTAGTATACTGGATCAAATCGATCGGTGTCTTTTAGCATATAGACTCCTTGAACGGACGCCTCAAGTTTCATTTGATGTATTTGCATGTTGGTGACTATCAATGGAACCCAGGACATGCATTTCATCCTACTTATGACTCATCGGTTGGACGTACCTACATCCCATGGAGAATTCAACCCAGCAAACACCACTACAAACATCACAGCGTTATCCACTAGGTGACTGAAATATCACCACCAAGAAGATACATCAAAATAAAACTTAAGGTTAAATCGAGGCATCTATTCAACAAGCATATACTTTAACAGAGGTTGATCATTTTCGTTGGGTATAATAATCGAAAGGAAATTACAGTCATCAGCAAGTGGAGAATGACACCAGTTGCATAAAAGGGGCCTCCTATGACCCATTAGCCAAATGGATAACGATTTGGTGTTTGAAGTGATGGGTATTGGGTTAAAGTCCCAATGAGATCATCAGCCGCTGGGATGGTGGCACATCCAACTGACGAAACCTACACAGGACAAAATGAGTGTCGTGAACTCCATTGCAAGCCAAGATTTTATTGGAAGTCTGTATCGCCTAAACAAACAGATGACCTTGAAAATTTCAATAGTATAGATCAGAAATTGTAAGAATTATCCTACTTCCTCGGCAACTTTTTCGATCTCTCGTGGGGTCGTGGATGCGTACTGCTGAAGTGTCCCATACTAGGACGAAACAGTTGCCCAGTGCTCCCAGGTTTTCAATGGTTCTCCAACTGATCTTACTCCATGATGAATACTACCTTAAAATTTTTGTTGATAAAATAATTTATAATTGAACGAATTTGTTCAATCTCATTTGTCTGCCCATTTTAAATAATTCTTTTACCCTCATCCTTTTTCAGACATAAGTGTAGATCAGAAGAGAACTCGTCAAACCTATACTCGTTATCAAACTTTAGAACTGGAAAAGGAGTTCCATTTTAACAAGTAAGCCTACTTCGAGTTGTTTTTTCTAGTTAATTATAATTGCATTCATTCCGTGGCACTTTGAGGTATTTTCTTGTTTTGATGTGGATTACATATTGGTTTAGTAGTATGTTTGATTTGACTTGATCGTATTATGAAAAGTCTCGATGACTGCAACTGAATCGAAAGTCAGTGTCGAAGCTTGATTGGAACCAGTAACATACAGGATACGCGTTTACTGCCCTATGCACTAAGCTATAGAGCTTAAATACTCACTCATCAAGTCTCTGCTTAGCTTAAATCACAGAGTTGTGCTCAACTGTTTTTGGGATGAACATTACGTAACCGTCTGTGCAAAATAAGATGGACTGGCCAGCTAAATCTGACTATCTTGATCCAAATAAAGTTGAATCAAGTGAGTTAAGAGATTGACTAACTGGTGATTAGATTATCTGAGGTAGTTTGTTTAGGTGAGTGAGGTAAAAGAGAGAAACAACTGAAGGTCAAGTTTTGTTGCTTAGTTGGTAGAGCGTGTGGCTGCTAAATGTGAGGGTACTGGTTTAATTCATGCTATAACCCAAGTTTTCATCGCGACTCCGACCATCATCGCCTTACAATAAGCCACGCTTGGCATTTGTGACATATTACAGGCACGGTGATGAAAGTCAGCAAGTCTTGATAAAGATAAGGTGATAATCGAAGGCTGTATCGGGTTAACTATCTGATATAGCCGCGGTATGACAGACTTGTATTCTTAGTACTGGGTGATGACTGAAAGTGCATTAAAAATCTGAACCACGATAAGATTTGAAACATCTACCTCCGGTTTACATTGGAATGACAAGTTCTGACTCAGCAGCCAATGTGAATACGATCAAGTTGGGCAAATTGCCTGGTGATTGAAGTGAAATAAAGATCCATTCAGAAACCGTGTCTCGTAACTGACTTCCTAAAACACCGAGTCAACCAAATCGGAAATCACTGGGTTCCAATCCTGCAAATACTCAGATTTCCATTTCACCCCCAAATACCGAATTCTCAAATTCACTCTTACCACACTGTTTTACAGTATTTCACTACCCCTATGCTTACTTCATATCCCAAAATTTAAATATATTTGTGTTGACTTTCTCTTAGATATTGTTTTCTTCAACCTGATTAACTCGTACTCAAATGATGACTGAATGATGAAATTTAATGTCCACATAGTAATATGCAAACTAGATCACCCTTTATCTATTGATCAACCGATCTCACCTGGTCGAGATTTATCAGACTGGTATTATGCCTACAGATAATGATTGACAATGAGATGGAGATTTTATTCACGACTGTTTTTTGAACTAGTGTTCTTCAAATTATCAGCTTAAGTGTGAGTAAGTAGACACAAGTAGTGACCTGGTGTTAAACATAATTCCCAAATATGGAGGGTTTCACTTCACTTTTTCACAAGATAATTGGGTGAAACTTGTGGTGACTGGAGTCAGATTCATACCAGCAGGTTACCAGTTGAATCTCACAGTTTATTCGATACAGCAGGGAGGTCACTGGTTTAAACTTTAACTTGTTGAAATCGCCACCCTGTACAAATCATTTTAATATAAGCTCAAAAGGGAGGGGAATAAAATAATTTACTGGATTTTTATACTCTTCACTTCTTTGATGATACTTTTACCAATTCCCTTTTTGATATAATTATTGATTTGACTGTCTGAGATGACTGTGTTTTGGGTGTCATGTATTTTTGATGATAATGGGTGATGATCAAAGGTGACATGAAAGTCTAGATCGTGGCAGCAACTTACTGGTCGATAATTCGAAATTTACTTTGGCTCAGATTTTCATTTCACCTTCAGTCATCACCCAGTATCAGTTACACAGTATTCGAATGTTAGACAACTAACTACTGAAGAGTTGTTAGTGTAGTTGCTTTTCTTTCCTTTTAAACCATCAATATTTCGATAATTTGTAAAAGTTGAATAGATATTTGAAATCATACGTACCTCTTGTCTAATAACATAATTTCTTTTCTTCTCCCTCATCATTAGATATTTAACACGTAGGCGGAGAATTGAAATAGCGCATACCCTCACTTTGACTGAACGACAAATTAAAATTTGGTTCCAGGTGAGTTCAATCTAACAGAGACGTTCATTGTACTGTTTTTTTAATTTGAAACAAATGGTTTACTAACTGTTACGAAGCAGTTATTCACGAAGTTAAGAAGAATTTCAAAATTAAACTGCTTTGTTTTAATACATATCCTCAGACTTAATTATCAGAACGTCATGAGCCTAGATTTCATTACTGTTGACCCTCATCAACATCATATTGTTGTATCGTTCAAAACAGTATTGTTCTCTAAGTGATTCAAATCTAAAGCTATTCAGAGTTTAGGTGACAGACTTTGTCAGCAACCTATTGAAGTCTTCAGTAACTCTTCTAAAGTCTATCCACTCTTAGATAGTCATGACAGTCGATTAACCAAGAAAGCTTGCTGCACAATATTGCAAAGCTTACTCGGAGTAAATGAACTACTGTTTTTATACAGTCACTACTGGCACATAAGGCTCATATGCAGATGTCTAGATATCGCTGATATTTTCAATGATGGATAGCGCTTAGTGACTGATCGGTCAAATTAACGACGGAGATTTAAAACCTACAGTATCAAAGCTATACTATACACAACAAGTGGCCATTATCACTCAGTGACGTAGTGGATTCTACTGTGGCGTTTGAAGTCGTTGGTTCTAGAGTTGACTCTTATTGGGAAAAGCATCGCTCAGTAGCAGGCAAGTCTACCCGGCTGACCGGTCCAAAACGGAACAAAAGGCGCATCCTGGATTATACTGCTAGCCACTATCCATCATCAATATCAAGAATGTCTTGCATCTTGGTATGGATAAGTTGATGATGGTTAGATTGCAAATCATTATCAGTTCTTGGAATCGATGAACTAAGTACTTCAATGAAACCGGAGGTACCAGTTATCTAACTTCCGATCCATTGGCACGCCGTATAAATGTGTAACTTTTGCTTCGATCAATGTGTCAGGGATAAACTAACAGTAAATTACTGAAGTTAAATTTATGTTGCCAGAAAATCACTTTTCAGTCATAAATGACAATTTTTGTCTCAGCTTCAAGAGGATTTTATATCACAGTAGTTTTCATCATGGACTGACATCAATTAGAGAACCACTGAAAACCTGGTAGCACTTGACAGTTGTTTCGTCCTTGTACGCGGCTCTTCAGCAGTACGCATCCACGCCCCCACCTTCACAACCAGATTTGTAGATACTGAGTTCGATCCCCGACAGGGTTTTGGATGCGTATTGCTGAAGAGTTTCATACCGGGACGAAAAAGTTGTCCAGTGTTCCCAGGCTTTCAGTGATTCTCCAATTCTTGTCAGTCCATAATGAATACTACCTTTAAAAGTTTAACACACGTTTATTCACTCTCCATGTTGTAGCTATTACTATTTTTGTCCGCAGAAGTTTCATAAAACTGCACAACCAATCGTCAGAAGTAGTTGTAGATATATTTTAGAAGCTTCTGAATGTCATGTAAAGCCTATCATCTTAACGACTGCATAGACATTCAATAGAAATATTAAACTGAACTTTAGTTTTACCTCTTGGTGATACCTCGGAAAAGCATTATTGTCTAAGCGGAAAATTTCATAACGCTTCCATCCATGCCGGTTGATGATACTGATATTCAGTTAGGATGTCAACCGATTGTAGTCTGTAATGCTGTGAACTGTATTTATACATGAGTGGATCATTTTATTACACCACTGAAACTAAATAATATATTCCGTTACTACTGAAGAAGATCTCAAGCATGACGAAACATACACCCTCACTTCTACTATGAAGTGATAGTACCTTTTTACAGGTTCATTGTATTCAACATTTTCTTGATGATTTAGGTTGTTTATCACCTGCAGAGTGCAATTCTATTCATCATAGAGATAAAAATAAGCTGCCAAACTTTTGACAGTTTCTTCAATGGCAAAAATTACTTTCTCCAGATATGCTGAAGAATATTTGGAATTCAGAATGTGTATGCCATGACTCGGTTGTTCCTTAAGCTAGGGTTTCACTTGGTAAACATTTTACTGCCTTGTCAGACATCATCATCAGTGTATTCGTGTTTCACAAAGAGTGATGTCATTTTACTTAATACATTGAAGGACATGTAAACAGTCTGAGCAAATTCTTCACCAGTGACGAAAAACAGATAATCCCTATTATGCTATAGCTTACACGGTGGCGACTATCAGTTGAATCTAGGACGTGCGTTTCATCCTTTTTGGGACTTGTCAGGTGGGTGTATTTGAAACCCAATAAGTGATGTCGTTCCCATGGAAACTTGAACCCAGTACCCATCAATTCAAACGTCAAAGTGTAATCCACTAATCCATAAAGGCATCAGAGTAATTTGGCCCAATTATAATTAGTAACGGGAAATTAAAATTATCAAAAAACAGTTGATCCCTTTAAATGATATTGCTTGAACTATTCGTCGTTGATTGGACAGAATTGATCGGTCTCTATTGGCATATAGGCTCCTGCCCGGATGCCTCGGTATTACCTGTCGTTTCAGCTCGATATTAATGATGAATAGTAACTAACAATCAACAACGAGATAATGCAAGCAACATCATATAAACTGTACCCATTGCACAAGAAGTAGCTATCGCAACTCGATAGCGCTCCGGAGTTTGAAACGATCGGTCGCCGGTTCAAGTCTTAGTAGGGATAGCATCCCTCACTGGGAGGCAGGTGCGTTCATCTGACGAGGCTCAGACAGGACGTAATGCGCATCCTACTAGCCACTATCCACCATTAATATCAAGTTGATCCCTTTGTTAAAAACTCTCCTGAACTCAATTATTAACCACCTGGTAATATTCATTACTTACAGGGGAAAAAATAAATCAAATAAAGATGTACACTGAATCTATAGTGTATCAATAGACACTATGGTCATGAATGTTATAATTTAAGGTAGTCGAGACAATCTTTTCTGCTGATACATGATAGGTGACAATCGCATAAATTTAGCGCTAATAAATTAAACCAAAAAAAGGGTTATGTAGTAGATTGTAGGTGGTATGCACAGTAAGTGTACATCTTGTTCTACCGCTTTTTATCAGAAATGTAGTATACACTTGGTATTATTTTGTTTTCATCTCTCTCACTCAGTACCTCATTCTTCTTCTCCCTGTTTATCATTTTAACCCCCCTAACCATCCTATTACCTTGTTATCTGCATCATTATATATACAGATAGAAAGTTAATATTTTGGATTCCTTTAGTTTCCTTTATGTTCTTCAATTCTACTTATCTGGTAAAACCTGTAAAACAAGCCCATTCTATGTGTGTGTGTGTGTACATGTGTGAACAGAGATAAGGAGAACTGAAGATCTATAAGTAAGGGGCAGTAATGAATGCGTTCTAAATAAAATGTCAGCATATACACACATGGGACATTCTTTTCAGTGAACAATAATAAATTCCTGAGTTATTCTCTTCTTTTCCTTCTAGCCAAATTTTCTCCCTCCCCTTTTGTATTTTCTGTTTTACCTTGTGTAGTTTTTATTATTTATTACCCATACCTTTCATATGTTCATCTTCGGTATACTAACAGACTTACAATATGCATTCAAGCTATGCTATAATTCACTATGTATTACAAACAATGACCATAGTTCGCTTTCAATTAAACTACAAATCCAAATGAATTATGTTTTGTTTGCTTATTTTAAATATCTGTTTATCAATTAACCATTTATAGGGGAAGTATGACTTATTAACAATTGTAGTAAGATTAAGTTCAAGAGGAATGTATTGTTTTTCCTTTTTCTTGTCTTCGTTTTGACAATGTAAACGACATTGTCCTTGTCTATTTCATCGAAAAGTGGTATAGATTTAAGATTTTTTTTTAAAAAGAAAAACAATTAAATCAGTGTGTAATAATTATTGAAAAGATTACAGTGTAAATATTCATCATAGGCCAAGGGACTGGAGTACTGGACAACTGTTTGACTGCAGTATAGGACTCTTCAGGAGTAAATATTCCATGATTCCATTAAAGATAGGACTGATGACCTTTGAGTGTTACAACGAATACTTTAACCATATAGTGTATATGATTAAAGTGACGGATTACCTGATGGAATAAAAGGTATTAGAATAAGATCTGTTTGAACGAACAATGGCTTTCCACTACTTCCTCTTCAGAATAAGTGAAATACAATAGCCAATGTAAGACATGTCACTGTTGAAACAGTCAGTGAACAAAAATTAAAACAAATAGATGTAAGTTATGTAGTGAAATCAATATGAACAGAACAGTTACGATATAAGGAGATGATGATTCCTTAATATACTACAAGGTGAACTGATAAAAGTAGGTAACTAGCTCACTACAAGAGTTGAAACTTCTAGTTTAGATCCCTAGTGGAGTTGTGAATGTTCACTGTTGAAGATTTGTATACTGGAAGGAAACATATGTCCAAGACCACTTTGTTTTCAATAGTTCTACATTTGATATCAGTTCATGAGAAATACCCTTTTGAAATCAGTCAATCTTGAGAACCCTCCAAACTCATTCATATTCATCTGTAATCATGTAACGATGCAGTATATTCAAACAGGGCGAAAAATCAGGTGGTTAAGATAACGAAATAATAAAAAAAACAATTGCGAAATGTTTGCTAGGCGTTAGAAATAACTACTGATAATGGTACGGGAAGACGAATACATAAAAGTAATTAATAACATGAAAGTAAATGTTTATGAATAAACTGAGGAAGACAAAGCAGAACAATGGGATGGAATAGAAGCCTACAATATGAAATTTATTCTGGAAAAGTGTATGAAGAATGTATTGACCCTATTGTGGCCAAAGTGGACCAAGAAATGAATTGAGCATATACATTAGGTTTCCTTGTATTGATTTCTACGGCTTCAGATAAAGATAAGAAACGTAGTCCTGCCCTTTTGAGGAGATTCCAAAGCACACTAAAATATCACAGAAAAAGCATGATCCAACTTGATTTGATCTCCAGTATTTACTAAGTGTGAGAGTACTGAAGTGTTTACGTGCCTTGTTATCTCTTTCTCTAACCAAGCTGGTACATGTTCATGAGGGCGTATGGATAGAGTACTGTCTATGTATCCAGCCCTGTCCATAAAACTGAATATTTCAATATTGAAATAGTGTTACACTTTACATTGGCTAATGTATTTCACCTGTTCTCATGGATTTATGCTTGTCGAGTATTTCTATTGGTTCTTTCGTACAACCTTAAAAATGATCTTGCATTAAGCTTATGAAGTTTCATTTTTATTCAATTGATAATGATGAATTTTTGATCAATGTTAGAAAAATTAAATGAATATTTACACCGTTTGAAGTGGAAATTTGCATATTAGTTTTCTAAATGCTTCTTTATCGAAGAAATAAAAAGAAAATAAGGGAAAAGGCGATGTTAAATCAATGCAACTGGGATCTACCTACATGAATAAATACCTTCCTTCTTGCGTTTCAAATAAATTATATCCTCAACTCCTAGATAATGAACTGACTCCCATTCGCTGACTTCTTGAACACACCGCCAAATCAGTGCCTAGTCAGCTGATTAACAACCTAATGTATAAACCCTGTCTGATAAATAAGAAAGTTCTAAAGACAGGCCATCACCTGTGAGATCAGTCAGTGTGAAGTGAAGCGGGTCTCAAGTGGAAATCTTCGTGAACAGCCCCATTATATAGTGAATTGACAAAAGTTGGAAACTGTGAACCAATGAACTCTCAGACAATGGCTGGATAGTCAAGGTGTTCACCACAAGACTTGAGTGTTTTGAGTTCGATCTTTGGTTGAATTGTGAGTGCGTGCCACTGAGGAGTCCCACACCAGAACGAGACATCTGTCAAGTGCTCCAGTGTTTCTAGTGATTCTCTAGCTGATGTCCATGATGAATCCTACCTTGGAAATAAATAATAAAAATTAAAAAATGGTGTTAGTTCTACTTGCTTATTTATGATTAGTGCTTTAAACTGTATTTCTAGATATGTTGACCCAAAAATAATCAAATCTGATGAAATTATGTGAAATAATTGATATTTGTTGAAAGTCAGCCGAGTCATGAGTTACCCGACCAATAACTGCATATTATTAGCGACTTATAGGAGAGGTGAAATTTGTGTAGATCCAATAAACAACTGTAACAATGGAGTCGTATCATTGTACCAAGAATTGATCGAAGTTAATAGGTACTAATAAAACTAACTTTCCACAACTAAAGTGAAATACGGTTTGAAACTTTCATCGGTCCACAATACCATTACTACTGCTACTACTACTATTACTACTACTACTACTACTTCTAATAATAATATTGGCAAAGATATACCCCGAGTTAATCAAGTTTTCTAAACCACTATCATAACCATATGCGTTGGATTTCTGATTGGCATTTAAGTGTTTTGTGGTAATAATGCCTAACTGCATCAATCAACCACTGGCGACTTAATCCAGTCCTGTAGGTTGTCAGTTGCGGTTTGAACAGTTTACTGACAAAGTATCAGACTTTATTACTGAGTGATGCAAGATCAAACTACCTAAAGAACGCCAGCTTCTTTATTGTCGAAGATTCATCTTGCTGATAAGTGTAGGTGGAGACGAAACCTTGTTATAGTTGGCTATTCTACTGATTAACTCTAAGTGTTTAACATTAAGTATAATGAACAATTCAATGACTTGATATATTTCTCTTTTTTCCTCTAGAATCGGAGAATGAAATGGAAAAAAGATCATAATATAGCTAAACTGAATGGTCCTGGTACTTTGGAACAGCTTGAATTAGCTGAACAAGGATCAACAATTTCAACAATAGGACGAAAAAATCATAAAGATTCATCAATCTGTGATGATAGTGATGAAGAATGCGTAAAGCGTAAACGATTATCTGTTGATGAATTCGGTCAGTTGGATACAATATCTACCAGTGGACATATTGTTGATCGTAATGCATTTTCTACAGAACATAATATTTCTGAAAAGAATCGAAATATTAAACACGACTATATACTGGCTCATAGAACTAAATCTCGACATATTCATCATGGTAAACATAATGTTGGAGGTGATGATGCCGATGAAGATGTAGAACAAGAAGAAGAAGAAGAAGAAGACGAAGACGAAGACGAAGAAGATGGAGATGTTGGTGATGAAGATGGAAATGAGAATGATGTAGTGAGCAGAACAAGAGGAAAAGAACATCATCGAAATCTTATGAGTCTATCTACAACTGTGTCAAATAAACATTCATGGTCTTTAAATCAATCAGAAAAAATAAACAACTTTCATATTCCAGATAGTATTTATTTAAAAGTTCAACAAACTGGAACTAATTCAGAAAATTTAATGTTTAGAAATGGATGTGAAAAGAAATGGCATTCTTAAGACTGAAATTTATCCAATTTATTACTAACTGAACCACTTTTGAAGACATCTTTTAATTTTAAGTAGTATTTATTATAATCTCTATCCTTGATCGAGATTTTCATTTTTCTAAAAAAAACAGAAACAACACTTCTAACATAAACTTTCAATGCATTTCTTCGCAATCAATCCATTGAACAATCAACCTTTGATTTGTTTGTTCTTTCTGATATCCTTTGAATTAGTATGAAAACAATTTTGAATATTATTTATTTCATCAATAAGATACAGATGGATTGTAAATATACTAAGTAATGTTCTAATAAACGGTAACTTTCAGTTATCTGATTTGAAAACAAACTTTTTGACTACCTCACTCAGTAAACTCAAATTATCACTGATCACAGAACTCCCTTCTTTAATATTGTCATCAAGTATCAAAGTAGACTAATCAAGCAATTACCTAAAGACAGTGTTCTTTCATCCACACCCATTCATCATCCACCTGACTTTTATGCTTTTCGTGTTATTATTTCATTCGATCCCGGGATTCTCCGTCTTAAACTCTCGCTGTGCACCCTTCCCCCTCTCTCTCTGTCTACTATCTCCCTTATTCAGTGGACCCAGGACTTGCGCACAAAAAAAATCATTTCCTCTTCACTTATGAGTAAAGTCACTCTTGTAAATATATATATATATATATATATATATATATATATATATATATATATATATATATATATATATATATATATATATATAGAGTATCAAAATCTCTCCCTATTACTTTACAATCCCAAAAGGATTTATTGTATATGGTCGATTTGTTTACCTTTTCTTGTTACCTTCACATTTTTCTTTGTAGTAGAATTATTGCCTACTCAAGACTACATTAATCTATTCATCAAAGTGAAGTGGCAGTTAAAAAACTGGAAGAAACAATCAACAGAATCTATCTCTTTCCTTTTTAAGGCTTATTGTCTCAATCTCCAGTAAAAGTACGATAGCAATAAAATAAATAACCAAATACAGGAGAATACCAATTACTGAATGTAACTTTTATTTGATCAATTCTCAATTGTAATTGAATAAAATTATTTGCTAAAAAATATTAACAATTAAATATTTCATTGATCTTTTTCCTCCTGTGATGTTCTTTTCATTCTTTTGTCGTTGTGGTTGTACACTAACAAATCAAAGTCGTCTCTACTCAAAAGTAGATTATACTGAACGTTTACCTATTTGGGTGTAAAAAGAAACTGAAGGATTTAATGGGATACTAGGTGATGATTGAAAATGAAATGGAAACTTGTATCACAGTAGAATTCGGACTAGTGAGTTGGTTGGGTATCAGGCTGAAAATCTAGTGGTTTCTGCCTCAAATCCTTTTGAGAGTCAACTTCTCATTTCACCTTCAATCATCACCCAGTATCAGTAACATAAGTCTATCAAACCATACTCACTTATCTCACATAGTTAAATTGATAATTTAGAGAGGGATAATAAGTTTTTCGTATATTTGTATAGTAAAATGTCCGTTGTCTCCCTGTGACTCGAGGAACATTATCGATGTTAGAAAACAATAAAGTAAACTTTAGTGTGAACCAACTTCATAGTTTATAACATTTAACAGCTTGATAAATGAATATCAACTAGTTTAAAACGATGATAGCGTCATATCAATAAGTATGAAAGTGTGAGCCATTAGACTCCGACCTGATGGCTTAGTACTAAGAGGCAGGTTACGAGATCTGATGACCTTGAGTTTGATTTGACACTGCGTCATGACTGAATACTGCTAAGGACTCTCTGGTTAAAGTCACTGTGTGATGAAAATCCTTTTGAAAAATTTTCCTCAAATTTTCTTTTCTAGTTAACTTTCAGTAGTTGCCTAATGAACACACCTGTACAATGAACAAAAAATTCGGTGTAAGATTCAAAGTTATACAAGAACATCCACACCATATTGTTATGTTCAATACTAGATGTTCACTAAGTAAATTGTTCCTTCAGCTGAATACACCTAGAAAGTAAAACCAATTAACACAAGTCCACCAGTTCTGTTCAGTAAACAAGACAATAAAATATCTTATCCAGGGTAAATAATTAACTCATACTTATTGCAACAGAAATGCTTCTTGTTATTTGATTGGGTCGATAAATAAAATCACAGTGTTTGAAGCAACAGGTCATTGCTTAGATTCTCAATTATAACATTATCTTAAGTGTATCAAACTGACATGTTTCAAGTATGAGGAAACATATATACTGGATTCTTTTCTTGGTCACCACAAAATAGATGCTCTTATTGAAATGTAATTTCCTGGGCAATTGTTCTTGATAGACTTTTAAGCAAGATATCAATGACTCAAAGATATTTACATGATCTCTGATTTTTGTCCCATATTTTGTATTGAACTATTTTACTTAGTGAGTTTTGATCTCATCTGTGACTATAACAGACCGTTTCCATTTCAGATTAGAAGAATCATGTTCATATTAGCATGAATCAGTCTTGTTTGCAGGAAGGTCAAATCCATTGCTCTTCGAACTGTGATGTAACTAGTGCAGTTTATTATTATTTGTCCCTTGGGCCATATCCTTTGGAACATAGGGCTTCAGTAGCACGTCTCCATTTCACTCTCTTCTCTGCAGTCTTTCCAACCTGGCTACACGACTTCCCAAAAGATACCATTTCTTCCTCACATGACCTCCTCCATGTCACCCTTGACTCAAATGCCAAACTCATCGTCTCCCATTTCGGTTCCACTCGACGACCTGGCCTGGCCTGGCTTGGCCTGGCATGGCCTAGTGCGTGATGTCCCCAATCGGTCTTCCTTCTCAGCGTTTATCCAATCCATCTCCACTTTCTTTTCCTGCATACATGTTGAACGATAGCTTCCTGGTTGGTTCATCGCCAGACAACAGTTCCATGTTGCTCACTCTTATTATTCTGGTCATCTGATCTGATCTTCAGTGTCAGTATTGAGTGAGTGAGCGTGGGCGGCAGCTGTTGATGATGCATGCCTGTAGTTTGTTGGAAATGCTTTCCATAACGCACCACCAATTCTCTCAACCATCACATAGAAGCAGTGACTGAGTTGACTGAATTAGTGTTTAGAATCCGGATGTTGTTCACGCTTTATGTTGAGTGTAGTGTAGTGTAGTGTGGTGTAGTGTGGTGTAGTGTAGTGTAGTGTAGTGTAGTGTAGTGTAGTGTAGTGTGGTGTAGTGCAGTGTAGTGTAGTGAAGTGTAGTGTAGTGGAGTAGATTGCAGTGGAGTAGAGTGGAGTGCAGTGCAGTGGAGTGCAGTGGATCTTCACACCGATTATTTAGGAATAACGAAGGCTCGTCTTGCTGTCTTTCTGATCCTGACTGGCTTTGACATCGTCATCTGTGCCCCAGCCGCCACCGCCGCCTATAGTTGAAAGGGTGCTGCCTAGATAGGTGGGTAGGTTGGTAGGTGAAAGAGACAACTTCCTTTACATTTCTCCCGTTGATGATAACTGGTGATTAGTGATTGTTGTTTTTGATGTTGGTTGGTTGGTGTCTTCATCACCCCCGTCTTCTCTGCATCCATCCAGCCAACGTCTTTAGTTTCGATTAAAATCTCATTTCTAGTGCCATTTAATGAGTAAATTTATCAACCATGAACGATGGATATTTTGCCTGTTCTGAAAATCAAGTGGGTAGTTGATCATTTCCGTTCTCGGTTGGTTTATTAGTTCAGGAATTCATCAACCCTTTTGGAAAAATAACAGCATCGACGAAGACAAGTGGACTGATGTCGAAAGCTGTCCTCAGATTATGCAATAAAAAACTAACGGAACATTAAAAGTGTATCACAGTGGCTGGCCTTCTAGCTTAGTGGCCACATTGCAGAAAGATAAGCAGAATTCGGTCAGTACTGAAGACTTGACGATATGGTTCGAATCCAACCATAGTCCAAAATTCCATTTCACCTTCAATTATCACCCAGTATAAACGTTTTAAGTGTTAATACAGTAAAAGAATAGAGCATTTAATTGTTCTGTAGCACCATGATACTTGAGTCAATGATTTTGAATCTGGCCGGCGTCCAGATTTTCATCACACCTGCTATCATCACCCAGTATAAATACTAGTCTGCTAAACCACAGCTATCTTAGATAAACAAATGATAATCAATATGATGCTCTTCCTCTCTGATTCAGTTAGATTCGGATTGGGATGAGAAGTCTTGACTAGGAAGCCAGTGTGAATATGATCAAGCGACGGTAACGCGTCAGGAATTCATATGGTCGTCGGGCAAAACCCTGACTTGTGATTGAAGTGAAATAAAATTCTGGTCAGCAGTCGGAACTGGTAGGTGAGTTAGTAAAGCACCAGGCTGGTAACCCGGTGGCCGCTGGTCCGAATCTGACCACGGTTCGGATTTTCATCTCACCTTCAATCACCACCTAGTATAAACATGAAATGTGTTACTCCTCAATGACCAATCAATGTACATGATAGGACTTTTCCTTTTAAAACAGTGATACATACTCAGCTGGTGCTTGGAAAGAAGATTAGCAAAGCTTACAAGGCCGTCATCCATGCAAAGCTAAAAGTAAAACTACATAAATTTTCTAAAATAGGTAGTTTAGTATGATATCGAAAAATTTCGTTTTCACTGCAAGATATGAGTAAGTATATGTTTTTGTTATGGATGGCATGATGTCAAAATGTTTCTGAAAGCTTTAATTAACTTTATATCTCGTAAAAGAAAAGTTCTCCAGTTAGAGGTTGAACTTATAATTTTTTAATATTACTCTAGATTCATTGCATCAAGAACCACAAGACGATGCTTCATTTGTTAATCAATAATATCAACGGTGTTAAAAATCTGCCTATCAGTTTCCGATAACTACGACTACTACTATAACTGCTGCTGCTGCTACTACTACTGCCCACACTACTACTACTACCCACACTACTACTACTACTGTTACTACTACTACCACTACTACCCACACTACTACTACTACTACTACAGCTGGCTAGCTACTTTCTTTTCGGGCGAACAGTTTGAAGAAGATGGAGAATATTAGTGTTATATCTTAGTATTTGGTAAATAAAACTGAAGAACTAACGTCAAAAAATATATAATAGAAATTAGAGGGTAAGTGGATTGTTATTCAAGGATTTCAGCTTGTTAGTTGGATAACATACATTTGGGTTAGAAGGTTTGATTACTTTTCAGTTACTTGACTCAAGTATCATGGTGCTACAGAACAATTAAATGTTCTATTCTTTTACTGTATTAACAATTAAAACGTTTATACTGGGTGATAATTGAAGGTGAAATGAAAATTTGGACTATGGTTGGATTCGAACCAGCTATCACCTGGTTCCCAGCTCAGTGCTTTACTAAATGATCTATTGTATCTGGTAGCTCATTTGGTAGAGAATCGTGCCGTAAATCAGGTGATAGCCGGTCCGAATCCGTCTGCTGTTCAAATTTTCATCTCATCTTCCATCATCATCCAGTATAAATACTAGTCTGCCGAACCACGGCTATCTCAGATAGTCAAAATGATAATTAGAAAGTTTCTATTTCGAAGTCAATTGACAGCTATACTTTATTTCAACACCACCTATTATCACTCCCAACATACTTTCAAGGTCCGCTGACATTCGCTTCCCGATAATACCTTATCACTCACAATTACCAAGTGATGA